TCCCCCTCACCTCCACAGGCTGGTCACCTCGCTTGGCTTGCGTGGTCTGGGAGGGGAGCCAGAGGGCCTGGGTACAGCTTCACGGTTCCCCTCTGTCCCTCACCCTGTCACGCCTGCCTCTGAATTCCCGGAATTGTTGGTGCCTCCAACGGGATCAGAGGGCCGTGCATTCTTTGCTCTTGCCCAACCTGGGCCTGTGACCTGGCATCTGAGCCTAGGCCCCAGCTTCCTGGGGGGCTCTGCCTCCAGACTCCCCAGCTCAGGCTGAGGGGCTTCAGTCTCCTGGAGAGTCAAGTTCCCCAGCAGCATGGGCAGGGGAGGGGGGGTGAGATGTGGGGAGAGGCAGGAGAGCAGGCTTCCCCCCTCACCAGAGATGGGTGCCCACAAACCTCCGCTGACTCCTGCTGTGTGCGGGGCTCTTGGTTCATTAACTCCTCTCCTCCCCAGAGCACAGCCAGGATGAGGAAACGCAGACCCCGAGAGGTAAGAGCTAACCCAGGTCCACACTGCGAGGAGGCTGCACAGGGGGCATGGAGCTGGGGCAGCCGGGCCCCAGGACCTTGTGCAGTCTCCGCAGGGCCCTGAGGTCTCAGAGACGGCTCAGTGGTTGAGCGTTGACCTATGAACCAGGAGGTCACAGTTCGATTCCAGGTCAGACCACATGCCTGGGTTGCAGGCTAGATCCCCAGTGTGGGGCATGTAGGAGGCAGCCAATCAATGATTCTCTCTCGTCATTGATGTTTCTATCTCTCTTCCTCTCCCTTCGTCTCTGAAATAAAAATATTTTTTAAAAAATAAAATACTAGAGATAATCCTCAGAAACGAAAAAGTTACTAAAAACAAAACTAAGCCACGATGGTGGTATATCCACCTGTGCACTCTGAGAATTCATCCACCCTTTACATTTATTCCTTTAAGAATATATGCCTCGCCCTAGCTGGTTTGGCTCAGTGGGTAGAGCTTTGGCCTGAGGGCTGAAGGGTTCTGGGTTTGATTCCGACCTGGGTTGTGGGCTTGATCCCCAGTAGGGGGCGTTGCAGGAGACAGCTGATCATTGATGTTTCTGTCTCTCCCTTCCTCTTCTTTTCTCTCTGGAATCAATAGATAGATAGATAGATAGATAGATATTTAAGATTAACTACATACTACGGGGCTCATAAAGAGTTGCAGGCAGGATAGTGGTGAAGTCAGATCTCCAAGCTGATAGCCTGGCCGTGGAACAGGTCATGGGTCAGGTGGGTTGCTGAGCGGAGGGGGTGAGGTCAGGAGGTGCGGGCTGGTCTCAGTGAGGCCAGGCGGAGGGTCACTCGGGCAGGACTTGGCAGAGGAACGGCGTGGGCCTGCGGCTGCTGAAGGTGCAGGGGGGGAGGGTCCCAGGGCTTGTCACACACGTGAGCAGCTGGGCTTCAAACGTTTGGTTCCTGCCCTGTCTTCCTGGACTGTGTCAGAGAGGAACGGAAAAAAAGAAAAAAGAAAAAAAGCCGCCCGCCAGGACCCGGGAGCCTGATGGAAACGGATCGGGAGTCCACAGAGCTTTCGGGGCTGGAGACACCGAACTCGTCATCGCGGGTGTGGCCCAGATGTGGCCGGTGCCCAAGATGACACTACCCAGCGAGAGGGCACCGTGGGGAGCAAGCAGCCAGGACAGAGTCCTGCCGGTGGGGGGAGCAGAGGGAAGAGCCCCGGGGTTGCCAGTCATGCCAACTGGAAGGCGAAGTGGCCTACAGGGCCGCTCTTGGCACCCGGAGTGCCAGGTTCAAGGCTGCCAAGGAGGGAGACGAGGCTCCTCTAAGAGCCGGGAAGGGAGACGTGCTCCCAGGTGGGGCAGCCTGGGCAGGTGAACCCCGAAGGGGAAGACGCTGGGGGTCTCGGGAAGCGTGTTCAGGTGGGAGACTCGTAGGACAGCGGGGGAGCCTGAAGGCCACCGTCAGGTCTGAGTTCACCTTCCTCGCGCCTGGAGAGCAGCTTAATGCTCAGCTCAGAGTTATCGCCACAGTTAAGGAAGTGAGCGGGAAGCCGCGTCGGACACAGTGCTGAGCACACCCTGTCTTCATTCTTATCATCAGGAGCAGCACAGCCAACAGCTGAGCCCCGTCCCCTTCTGCGGGAGAAGGTGGGGTCCGCACCGCAGAGCTCTGGCCCCACATCCCAGACGGTGGCTACAACTCCCCTGGGGCAGAGCCGGGCCCTGGGGTGTCGTCTGAGTTGTGAAGGCTCCCTGGGCGCTGCCCTCCCTCTGCCCTGGCCACCCTCAGAGCTCTTAGAAGCTCGTGTTTGGGAGGGGCCTGCCTGCTCCTCTTGGCACCGCGCAGACCTCAAGGAGAGGGGGAGGGACAGATGGGCAGAGGGGGAAAGGGAGGCTCCCCACAGAGGATGACCTGTGGTTCCCCAAATCTAGGAGAGGGTGTGGGTGGCACTGAAGCAGGAGATGCTAGAGGAGGTACCTCGGGCTGGAGCCTCAGGGCCAGGACTGGCAGCAAGGGGGGAGGGGGCCCCAGGGCTGCAGGAAGAGAGGGCCAGGCACACACGTCCAAACAGGAGCCTGACCAACCCACCCCAGGGCTTCAACATCCTCCCTCAGCCTGCAGTGCCTGGGGCCGGCCAGGTCCCTCCCCTGCTGCTCTCCCCTCCCCTCCCCTCCCTCCCCTCCTCCACTGCCTCCATCCCAGGCACCCCCCTCTTCTCAGTCCTGGGGCGGCCAGGGTTCTGTGACCCAGGGCCCCCTCTGCTCCTCTTTCCTACTCAACTTTTAGAAAAATTTAAAACTCAAATGTTTCCAGGTTTTTTTTAACTTTCAAGTTTACCCGGTAACTGCGACTAGAACATGAAGCCAGCGGCAGTAATGATTCCGTATTCACCCTGACCAGTTTCACGCAGCCGTGGGCAAACTACGGCCCTCTGGGCGGATCCGGCCCGTTTGAAATGAATAAAACTAAAAAAAAAAAAAAGACCGTACCCTTTTATGTAATGATGTTTACTTTGAATTTATATTAGTTCACACAAACACTCCATCCATGCTTTTGTTCCAGCCCTCCGGTCCAGTTTAAGAACCCATTGTGGCCCTCGAGTCAAAAAGTTTGCCCACCCCTGGTTTAGAGCCTCGGCCTGAGGACCTTGGGGTCTCGGGTTCCATTCCTGGCCAAGGGCACACCCTGGGCTGCAGGTTCCCCAGTCCCAGTGTGGGGGGGAGGCAACCAATTGCTGCGTCTCTCTCATGTCGAGGTTTCTCTCTCCCTCCCTCCCTTCCTTCCACTTTCTCTAAAAATCACTGGAAAAAATATCCTTGGGTGAGAATTTTTTTAAAAAATTATGATTACCGTTTCCTAAGTGTGCCAGGAAGGGTGCCCAAGGCTACATGGATTATCCCCTTCATTCCTCAACGGAGTCCTGGGAGGAGGGTAGTTATTACTCCCATCTCACAGCTGGGGAAAATGAGGCCCTGAATGAAGTTGGGCATCCACAGTGACACCGCACCTCATCCCACCCCACAGCCACCTCGGGACCGGCTCTGCTGCCCCTGCCGGACCTTCTCCACCAGCGTGGAGGCAGACGCAGTTGCTCCCTGCTTACAGCTCCAACAGGACTTCCTATGGCACCATTTTATTTTTTATTTTTTATTGATTTCAGAGAAAAAGGGAGAGGGAGAGAAACATCAATGATGAGAGAGAATCATTGATTGGCTGCCTGCTGCACACCCCCCACTGGGGAACGAGCCCACAACCCGGGCATGTGCCTTGACTGGGAATCGAATCGTGACCTCCTGGTTCATGGGTCAATGCATAACCAGTGAGCCACACCAGCCAGGCCTATGGCACTATTTTAAAAATCCATAGAAAGTCCTCATGCCTTGCTTACTTCCTGATCCAGCTACTTACCTTCCTTCCCCCATCCTGCCGCACCCTCGTCCTCCTCTCTCCTCAGACAATCCAAACTTCTTCCTGCCTCCTGTTCCTCTTTCTACCAGGCACACACGCCCACCCAGGTTCCCTCACCATTCAAGTCTCAACTCAAACGTTCCTCCAGGAGGAGGCGTCTGTGACCGCCGTCTAAACTAGCAAGGACACACACCCAGCATCATGTTCTTTGCTTAACAGCATCATCATCTTAAATTATCAACACTCCTTTGCTTCCTGTCTGTTGTCCCCGCTGGATGGGCTCCGTGTTCCCTGAGGGCAGGCACGTTGCATTCCCAGCATTTTAAACTCTTCCTGACACCAAGGAAGATCCAAACAGGTGTTTGCTGAGACCAACAGAGGGGCATGGAGGGGTCAGAACTGGGGCTTCGGTGCGCCTGTCCATTCACACACGGTCTCCGTAACCAG